TATATTCCAGACCCTAGTCTAAGCCTCCCTTGGGGTGTATTTACCTATTTATCTTCATAATAGCCCTAGGATGTGATTACCATTAGTAGCCCCATCTTTTTTTGTTGTTGTTTTAATTAGTTATATATGACAGTAGAATGCATTTGACACATCATACATAAATGAAGTATAACTTCTTATTCTTCTGGTTGTACATGATGTAGAATTACACCAGTCATGTAGTCATATATGCACAAAGGGTAATAATGTCCAGTTCATTCTACTATCCTTCCTACCTCCGTACCCATCTCCTCCCTCTGTCTAAGCCAAAGTATCTCTATTCTTTCCTAGCTCGCCTCCATTATTGTGAATTAGCATCTCCATATCAGAGAAAACATTCAGCCTTTGTATCTTTGGGATTGGCTTATTTCCCTTAACATGATATTCTCCAGCTCCATCCATTTATCTGCAAATGCCATATTTTGTTCTTCTTTAAGGCTGAGTAATATTCTATTGTGTACCTAGGTTGAGTCCATAGTTTAGCTATTGTGAGGTAAGCTGCTATAAACATTGATGTGGCTAATATTCCTATATTAAAGGTTTTTTAAAAGGCCTAACCAAGTTAAATAGCCTAGCCCAAGGTCAAACATTCTCACAGCCAGGAACTGGAACCAAGCAGTGTAACTGCAGAGCCGGGTGCTCTTTTGCCAGGAAAGCAACAGACCCTCTCGGAGCTCTGAGTCAACTCAGGGGTCTTATGAGGATGCCCTTAGGCCTGAGCCGAACCAACTCCATTTTAAAAACTCCAGTTTGAAACCTGCAGTCTCACCAGGCACACCCACAGAGTCCTCCAGCATGGCCTCAAACAAGTTATTTCCCCTCGCCCTGATAAACAGAGTGAAGCCCCTGGCAGGCTGTCCTCACCTGATGAGAGGGAAAGGCAATAAGATCAGGGTGGAGACCACCAGACCCCAGATGTTTCTGATCCCGCAGTAAATGATGTCACTGAGAAATCCAGTGGTAGCTGATAAGGATTGAAAGAGGGGTCAAAAGCCCCAAATTTTAGTATAAATAATAGAGCCAATGAACAGGGATTCGGCCAGCTGAAACAAGGATGCACTGGAGCTGGAGAGCCTGATGAGGACCTGACATCCCATCACTTTTCATCGTTTCCTGAGCCTCTGCGTGATCCTCACCGCTCTCAAACTCTACCATCTCATCTGGACCTTAGTGAGAGCGCAACTTCTCCCTAAGACCCTCTCCTCAATCAGTCGTCCACTCCTCACCAGGAAAAGCCTGCCTTGGTTCCAGACCTGATCACCGTGGTCTGAGTGAGTGTGCATCTGCTGGACTTAAAGCCTAAGGCTTAAGACTTAAACTTAGCATGCAGAGGGAATGTCTGTCATTAGCCTGTCATGATTAAGTGTGTTTTGCAGCGCTTAGAATTAATTAATCTAGAATTGTTTGCTGTGAATTATGTCTATTGCAATGCCTAGCATTAAGGATTGTGTTTTCTTGATTAAGAACCTATAGAGTGAAATTGTATTGAGTAATTTGAGTGAATAAAGCATTGAAAGGGGCAGAAGCAGGAGGACATTCTTTATTTCTCCCCTCCACTGCATACAGTCGCAGTTTTGCCCCCTCCGGACAGGTCTACCCGCTGGGGTCGGTGCACACCTGCACCAGTTCAGGGCGGCCTAACTACCAGCCCCGCTCACTGGCAAAACAACCTTTATGTATATCTGTGGGATGTGTCTCTGCTCACATCCAGGACCCCGAAAACGGGTTATAATTATGGTGCAATGATTTGTCCCGCCCAAGAAGGGGTGATTAACTACACATCTTTGATTGAAATGTAAATACTTTAACACTCAGCGGACCAGTAACACACTTTATGCAGCCCCAGAAATTTGACCGGCCCGCGTCCCACTCCGACCGCCCCCGGGGACCGCCTGCTGCCTCGGCATCCTGGGAGTCGCAGTCCCAACCAGTTCCCGGAACTTGTAGTCCGGGATCGCGCCAGTTCCGCCTACATCTGGGTCCGAGCCAAAATGTCACTCTTCTAATCCTATCAGCTCTCCAACACCGCCCTCTGCCGGCCTTGGGTCGCCGGGATCACAAGCCCATAACCCGGAAGAGAACCTTTGTCTTCCGAGTTGAGCTTCCGGGCTTCCGCACGTGGTTGAGTTGCGGGGACCCCGGGCCCTGGTCGTGAGAAGTGACTTCAACTATTAACCTCAAAGCTAAGGGACCGATCCGGAGCCATGGAGGGCCAGAGCGTGGAGGCGCTGCTGGCAAAGGCGGAGCAGGAAGAGGCAGAGAAGTTGCAACGCATCACAGTGCACAAGGAGCTGGAGCTGGAATTTGACCTGGGTAACCTGCTGGCTTCCGACCGCAACCCCCCGACTGTGCTGCGGCAGGCGGGACCCACGCCGGAGGCCGAGCTGCGGGCCTTGGCACGGGACAATACGCAGCTGCTCATCAACCAGCTGTGGCAGCTGCCCACGGAGCGAGTGGAAGAGGCGCTGGTGGCCCGGCTGCCAGAGCCCACCACGCGCCTGCCGCGTGAGAAGCCGCTCCCACGGCCGCGGCCGCTTACACGCTGGCAGCAGTTCGCGCGCCTTAAGGGCATCCGTCCCAAGAAGAAAACCAATCTAGTGTGGGACGAGGTGAGCGGCCAGTGGCGGCGGCGCTGGGGCTACAAGCGCGCCCGGGATGACACCAAGGAATGGCTGATCGAGGTTCCCGGTAGCGCCGACCCCCTAGAAGACCAGTTCGCCAAGCGGATTCAGGCCAAGAAGGAACGCGTGGCCAAGAACGAGCTGAACCGGCTGCGTAATCTAGCCCGTGCGCACAAGATGCAGCTGCCCAGCGCGGCCGGCTTGCACCCTACCGGACACCAGAGTAAGGAGGAGCTGGGCCGCGCTATGCAAGTGGCCAAGATCTCCACCGCCTCTGTGGGGCGCTTCCAGGAGCGCCTCCCCAAGGAGAAGGCTCCTCGGGGTTCAGGCAAGAAGAGGAAGTTTCAGCCCCTTTTTGGGGACTTCGCAGCCGAGAAAAAGAACCAGTTGGAGCTCCTTCGAGTCATGAACAGCAAAAAGCCTCAGCTGGATGTGACGAGAGCCACCAACAAGCAGATGAGAGAAGAGGACCAGGAGGAGGCCGCCAAGAGGAGAAAAATGAGCCAGAAGGGCAAGAGAAAAGGAAACCGGCAGGGTCCTGGAGGCAAGAGGAAAGGCGGCCCGCCCAGCCAGAAGGGGAAGAGAAAAGGAAATTTGGGAGGCAAGATGCATTCCGGCCCACCTGGCTTGGGTGGCAAGAGAAAAGGTGGACAGCACCAAGGAGGAAAGAGGAGGAAGTAACACTTCATTCACCCTTGGACCTGTTCTGTAAAGAACGAACTGTATGCTAAATGTTAAGTTTTTAGTACTGTCGCAGGGCGGGACCACTGTCTTCATTGAGTTTGAGGTTGAAAGGACAAAATTGTCCTCCCCTCAAGAAAGTATGTAAGTGTTCGACTGTACAGGTCAAAGTCTTTCCCACAAACGAGACCTTAGCTAGTGATGAAGGGTATATTTGAGGACACAAGGGTTAGAAAAATAATTTGGGCATTTTACTTTTGGGTTATGGGGTGAAGGAGAGTTGGTGACATTTCAGAGACTTATGGTAGATTAATTTATATATTTCAGCATTTGTTATTTTTGTAACAAGCTTCTATTATGCTGGGAGGGGAGAGGAAAGATGACATTTTCCTAAGTTGATTTAAAGAAACTGTTGTAGGGCTGGGGCTGTAGCTCAGTGGTAGAGCGCTCACCTAGCACACAGGAGGCACTGGGTTCAATCCTCAGCACCACATAAAAATAAATAAACTGTTGTGAAGGTAATTTAATAAATGTGTCTATCTAGCATTGCTTTAAACTTTTTGATTATTAGTAGAAGATATACTTGAAGACAGTGACCTAGATGTCCAGTACAGATTATTGTTTACTTTCTATAAAAACATAAAAGCAGTTATATTATACTAGTTTCAGCAAAGCTACTTTTATCAAAAAACTCAAAACTTATTTTGGCATAAAATATAGTAGTAAAAGTATGATAACTGATGGATGTCTCTTTGTAAGGATTGCTTGATATTTGTCAACCAGAACACATTGACATCTATACATGATAAACTTGGGGTACCCTACAAATAATTAACCTTGTTAATCCAGAAAATACTTGCCTTCCTCAACATTGATAACTCCAATTTTTTTTTAAGCTTGAATTCAAGTAGAGTCTGGGAAAGAGAAAAAATGACCCACAAAATCTATATTTGGAACATTACTATCTTTTGATTCATTTGTGAAGTTGGCCTGTGCTGGTTTGATTGGGAGGTGAAATAGTTAAAGCTGTCCAGGGTCATTATCTCCAGTTTTATTCTGATCTTAGTAAACTCATCTCTGAAAATCTCCTGAAAATGACAGTAGATCCAGAATGAGGGGCATTTTGGCTGCAAAAGCTAAAAGGTACAATTGCTCTTTTTAGTTTTAACTTTAAAATTATGGGATTTTGTTGCTTATTTGGGAATTTGTTTTTAAAGCTTTCTTGATTTAGCAGTAGGGTATGGCACTGGCCCCTGTAATTTAAGGGGGGAAAAGACCCTCGGGCTTACTTGCAAGATTCAAACTTGAAATCCAGATAATTTTAAAGAATTCAGAGTGGGAAAAGACCCAGTCCTCTCCCTTTCGCCCAGTCCCCAACATGCGAGAAAGCCTTTGGAGAGGAGAAACTTAAAGCAGGACTCCAGACCCTGGCTAGCAGTTGTGGCATTGGGCAGTTTCAAAGGTGAATGGTGAGACTAAGGGCTGGAGCTTTCACGGTCCAGATTCTGACAACCCGCAGGAAAAGGGTCCCAGGCCACTGCAGGCTGAAGCTTGGCCAGGTGACTTTTCAGGGCCGGTGGGCCGAGTGGGCGGGCGGGAGGAGGGCCACGACCCGGATTGGCAGGCAGCTGGGGCGGAGCGGCGCTGGGGAACCAAGAAGACATTCTAGCTGCCATGGCCGCCGCCTCCCGGGCCCGGGTCGCGCACTTGCTGAGGCAACTGCAGCGCGCAGCGTGAGTGCAAGGCCACCGAGCGGGCGGGCAGGGGCCTGAGGATGCCGCCGCGCCCGTGCAGTTTCCGGCCTAAGATCTGCCTGGGCTCTTGCAGTGTTTTTCCAGTTGCTTTCAAGAATGTAGGGAAGCAGGTACCGCGGTGCTCCGGGGCACAACTGCGTTGCACATGCAATCTTGCACCATGCAATGTGGCAGGTTTTACTCAGTTTATCTACCAATAAGAAAACTGAGGCTCAGGGAAAATAAGGCCTCGTCCCACATTGTGGCAGGCAATGCGTAGTGGCAGGGGTCACAGTGACCACGATAAATTCATATGCCAAATTGATAACTTATTAATTGGGTGTATGTTACATCTATGTATATTTAGGTTCTAGTAATAGACAATGGGGCAATTTAAAGTCTAGTGGGGCCCATAAGGGTACAGATACTGGGAGAGAGGACAGACTGAGAACTGGCCTACCACAGATCACAGCAGAAAGGGTGTACAAGGGAAGAAACCACACGGAGTTACACTTCCTAGCATATACAGGGAGTCTGGGTGATAAATGTTATGACAAGTCTGACTCCCAGTCCAGAAATGCCAGGTATATAGTAGTTGCTTGATAAATAGTGTTGAACATACAAGTGCACCTCTGGGCCTGGGAGAACATGAGAAGTTTGAACTAACAAGTAGAGATAAATGGAGGGGAAAGGAGACAGACTAGAGAGGAATTTCAGGCAGATGGAAGGGCAACACCAGAGACCAAGAGATGCAGTTCCAGGATCCAGAAGTAAAGTCTGGTCATACCCTTGTAGGAAGAAGTGAGAATGAAGAAAACAGATGGTGAAATACCACAAAAAAAAAAAAAAAAATAGCTGACACTGGGCCCTTACCATTGGGGCAAGGCACTGTCCACAAACTTTGCATGTACTATTAATAGCAGTAACTCTAACCCTTAAAACAACCCTATGGCATACTGTATTATTAGCCTCTACTGTAGACAAAGAAATAAAGGCATGAAGACTAATAATTTGTCCAGTGTCACAGAGCTAATTTGAATCCAGATGCTGTGGTTTCATAGGGCCTTATTCTCAGGCCTATGCAAAAGAATACAAATTGTGTTCTGTAGATAACAGCTACTAAAACAATATTTCTAACCCTGAAATATTAATACCTTGAGATGCCCCATGGTAAAAGAATTCCATGACCAAGTAAGACTGGAAAAACTACTGACTGCTGTTTGCCCTCTTGGAGACTCAGAATATACATTAGTATATAAAGGGCTCTGAGAAATCCTGTAAGAAGCAAGGGAGGTGGTGTTTAGCTGTGTTAAAATTCTTTGTTCTAAATCTGTATCATCATGCAACTCTTTTATCACACACCATTCATACCCCTTGGAACCAGTGTCATGCAGAATATGTTTTTGGAGTGGTTGCATGAGAAAGGAGTGTGGCATGAGTAGAATCATATCAGCATATTCTGGTGGCAGTGTGCAGTGGAAAGGGAAGACAAGGTGTGTACTGAGATTTGACAAGAACTCTAATAGGGAAGAAGGCTCAGTACTGCAGCTCACATAGAAAGGGAGTTTACCTGAAACCTGGAGCCTTACAGAAAGATGAGACTGATGAAAAAGTACAAAAGTTATCCAGAAAGAGGAAAGTTATGTTCCAGGCAGGGAAATTAAAAGGGCAACGTTCTGGAAGGGGAACAGAGAAAGAGAGAAAGAGATGTGGTTCATTCAAGGAAAAGAATGAAGTTAATTTTCCAGAAGCTAAAACCCAGAGGTAGAGAAAGATGAGGTTCTAAGCTGAAGAGGTCAATGGGGCCATTCAAGTAGACCAGGTCTGAACTTCACCTGCCATGGAAGTAGCTTTAAACAAGAGAGTGACATTAAAAATGTGTCCCTGACTGACCACATCGTGGGAAACAAAGGTGACAAAGATGCAGCTATGAGAAGCCAGTTAGGAAGTTAGTAGAAATATGGATGAGACATGACAACCCAACCAGAATGGTAAGGACCCTGAGAAAAGTGGGTGGATTCAGGTGGAGATATTAATATTTGAGGCCTTGATGTGTGACAGGTAGTCTATATAGATAGAGTAAGGGAGAAGGAAGGGTCAGAATGGCTGAAGGCAGCCAGCATTGAAGGAATGGGTAGAGTGGAGAAGGAGCCAGAGAAAACACAATGAGAAGAAACCCAGGTGAGAAGGGGGTCCTGGAAGCCAAGGAAAGAGTTTCACCTACCGAAGGAGAGCTGGGGGTGGCTCACAGCATTCAGTGATGCTAGCACAAATGCTAGGAGGTCTGAGGATCTAGTCTGAAAGCCAGGACTTGCTCCTGCAGCATCCTGATTTCTGGAGCCAAGGAATGTGCTAGAGCCAAGAAAATGGAGCCAGCAAATGTAAGCCAGTCGGGGAGAGCCAGAGGGTGAGCAAGCCTGAGAGTTTCAGGCATGAAACTCTTTAAGTATGATGAGAAGAACCCAGTGAGGCTGGGAGCACCGGGAAATACAATACATAACAGATGGAAGTTCCCAGAAGGAAAGAGGGGACAGGACAGGAACCTCAAGTAAGGAGTAGAAACAATAAATCGAGATATTGTCGAGCTTGAAAGAAAAGGGGATAGGAGAGAGGAAGCGCGTGGTCCCGGGAGCTGTCGCGTTGGAAAGCTCTGGGTGTGGATATTTTTCTTCCCTTTCTTTTGCTGTTCTTGTCTTTGAAGGGTTTAACGCATGACATGTTCTGAAAAGTAAAACCCAACTGTCAGAGCGGTCCTTGGCCTGGCCTGCTTTCCTATCCCCCGCTAGGTGGCAGCCTTGACTTAAGATGTCTAACTCGCTTCCAGTGTCTATTTTGACTTCACAATTCTCAGGAAGTTTTGAGAGCCTGAGGACCATTGAAATCCAACCTTTCCCTTCCTCCATCGTTTTTCCTCTCGGATGTTTTAATTCCAAATTTGAATTTTGGCGGGGTGGGAGGAGGAGGAAGAGGTCATGCACTCAAGTATCTACTGGGAGCTCACTATAACCCTGTCCCACGGGCTATAAAAATAAACAAAACCCAGCAGGAGAAAGAAGCCAGAGAAGGAACTGTGCAAGACAGGGAAAGGAGGGAAAGTTTCCAAAAAGGAGGACATGGAAAATCTGCAGAGAAGCCGACTGAGGAGTGAGAAGAGATGATGGGTTTAGGGGAGCACAATGCACCCAAGACCCAGACAAATGCATAGAACCTGAAGCTGCAACTGGGCAAAGAGTGGGGACACCAAGAGGTGACAAGGACGCCTGTGGGTCCTGGGAGAGCAAAGAGTTGGCACGGGTCCAGGGCCTGTTTGAAGAAAAACTTTAAACAGCTTGAAGACAGGAAAGTTCCATCGTGGCGGGTGGGTGGTGGGGGGAGCAAGAAGAGGAGCACATGAACCCTAGATGGATTTTATCAAAGCTCCAAACTTATATGAGCTGAGAGCTTGAAGGGAAACTGAGGACCCCACTTTAGATCTCGCATACTCCCGGAATGCTTATCTCAGCTGCTTGTAGGCTGCTAGAATAGCTAAATTAAAAAAAAAAAAAAAAAAAATCTTTTTATATATATATATATATATATATATATATATATATATATTAAAAATAAAATATGTGCTGAGAATCTTCCAACTCTAGAAAGACTCTGGATTGACTGTGCATCCTGATCACTGGATTGTTTGTTTCCTATTGTAAAATACCTGCCAATAATTACCAGCCTGATTATCTCTTAGGATTATAATGCAATGTGAGAATTACTTTAAGTATTCTTATTTGTTGGTTTTCAAGTTACTGTTTTTCTTTTCCCTAGATGCAAGTGTCCAGCACATTCTCATACTTACTCCCAAGGTAATACATTTTGTGTTTTTACACTAGCCACAACTTTGGTTTCTACAGTTGGCATTTATAGTACATTTGGGCCACGTATAAAGACAGGAAATCAAGGAGTGTGTGAGAGAGGAAGGCTGATAAAAACAACCATTTCTCTATTTAATATATATCTCCAGCTATGGAGAGGAGCTGATTGTATGCTACTGATGATGATATTGGCCTGAATATAGGTTCGATGATGTTTAAATAGATAAAATATTTGTCAGTGCTAAAAAATCACTGATAGGATTTTAAGAATGTCTAGGTTTGGGCTGGGGATCAGGCACGGTGGTGGAGTTGCTTGCCTAGCATACACTAGACCCTGGATTGGATCCCTAGCACTGAAAATTTTGAAAAGAACATCGAGTCATCAAACAGAATAAATCAAGATGAAGCCTTGGTAAGGTTGTAAGACATCTCTAAAAGAAGAAGCCTAAAAAATAAGGTGGTTCCTAGAAGGAAAAATCTTATTTATATCCATTTAAAAATGACATTCTACTTCTTAAAAATTAAAAATAATGACAAAAGTTTTCAGTTCCCACCAATGTCTTAATCCTTACCAAACTCCATTGTCCACAGAGCAGCAGGAAGCTGACCATAGTTTCAGCCTGTCCTCAGAGTGTCACATGAATTACTGACACAAAAACTAATTTTGCCTCTTGGAAGAAAAGGTCAAATCTAAACAACTGAGGGTGGGGTGGGGAGGTTAGGACAGACCAAGGCCTTTTTTCCTGCCTGAGGCATGGCTTACCTTTCAGCCACCAGGCCTTCTAATACCATGAGGCCCCTGTGAGGCAGAGGCATGCTCGTCTATGAGGCCTTTGGGAGCTTAGGCAGACTTTGGCTTCAAGCTGTTTGCTCTAATCCTTGGTTTTAACAAAGAATTAGTCATTTGCTATTTTAGGAATAAAATCAATAACTTAGAGAAAAATAATCTCAACAGTTATCTAGGACCCAAATTATTGTTTTACCTAAACTTTAGTAACAGGAATAATAGTAATAATAATTTCTTTAAAGTCTATAAGGAGCAAAGAAATTTAAATTTTGATAAGGGTGTCTTTGCCCTAAGGGAGCCAATATTAAGATTGTTATCTGGTTCTGAGGTCTTTAAAAAAAAAAAAAGTGAAAATTATTGTGTAAACTTTTATTTATTGACCAGGACTGATATAAACAAATAAAGATAAAACTCATGATGAGGCTTGATGGGACTCTCCTGTTGTTCCAATATCACAGAAAAAATTGTATTTGCTTTAATGAAAACTTGATGTTAGCAAATAAATATCAGTTTATAATTTTTTAATTAAATTTTATCAAGGAAACTAGAAAATTTTAATATAAATAAGCTTAAGACATATATTACTTTGATGTTATATTTGTGAAAAAAATTATAATTCAAACAAATTATTACAATGGCTATAATAGACTTACTTAGTTGTTCTCAGAGAATTTTTTTTATATACTATATTTTCAAATATTTTTTAAATTTCAGTGAGGAAATTTTAACTCTCTTTATTTTCACACAATCAGCATCAAGTTAACATTAAATTCTATCTTAATATATAGATATTAATTTAATTTGATATGCAAACATGAAACCTGATATATTGTAGGCAAGACTTCAAGGAAGATGCTAATGTTCACTGCTAGGTTATTCTGTCAAAAAATATTTATGCTTTATTTTTGAGGCCTACTCTGATACCTATTTCTACATTTTCAGCTCCTGGATTTTCATCTTCTGAGAAAACAACAGATTATGCCTTTGAGGTAGATTTTATCAACCCATTCTTTCTTTTATGAATGACCTGGAAAAAATACAACTGTAGTGTTTTGTTAACATATTAGCATTTCATTTGAAATCTCTTATTAATTGATGTTCCATAATCACTATTTGATCAAGCCCTATTTAGCAAAGCACCTTGTAAGGATAACCGAATATAATTCTTCTGAGACATAGTAATGTCTGAAATTCTGTCTTCTATATAGCCATTAAAATAGAATAAGGGTTGGGAATTAGCTCAGTGGTGGAGCACTTGCCTAGTGCATCAGGCCCTGGGTTTGATCCCCAGACCACATAAATAAAAAAATAAATACTCCCCATTCTACACATTCTCTGAATTATATATACTATCTGTTAAATCTTTTGTAGTTATAATAATCCTCAAAGAAGTCAAAGTAATTTGTTGAAGCAAGAATAAAGGAATGATTAACTTGAGTGCATTTTTATCACATTGTGCATAATTACTTGTAAGTATTTGTTTAGCCCCTCCCTCCTCCTAATGCAGAAGTCATAAATTGAAATATCACCAGATGCTCACAGAGCACAAACCCTATGAAAAGGTCTCCACTCAACCCAACAAGTTTTCTGCCCCCTGAGGATATAGCTCCAGTGTTACCAGATTATTCAAGAGAGATAGAAACTGAGGTGGTCAAATTGGATCTTTTTAATACTGATTTTAACAATTATTAGCCAATTTTTAAAAAGAAAGAGAAGAAAACATTTAAATATAACATGGATCAAATAAAACATCTTTGGGCCAAAAATGACCCATTATTCATTAGTATGAACACTCTTTTATTACCTGTAAACTTTGAGACCATGTTTCTCTTACTCATAGTTGTGTTACATGAACCTAGCACAGTGCCTGGAACATAGCACACAATAATGCTGGTTGAGTGGGAAGATAGTTGGATACATACAGATATATGTGTGCATAGAAGAGTGGATGGAAGAATGGATAGATGGATGAAGGAGCAAAAAAATATACACAGGAGTTAATATTTAAATGGGAAAGTAAGAAATTAGAGTGTTAATTTAGATGTGGAGGTTGGGGAAGGCAGACATTTGAAGCTGAAGGAAAAATTGCGAGTTTATGATGATCTTGGGAAAACTCAAATATATAATTACAGTTTGTTTGGAGCCAAGGTTCCCTTAAAGAAGTGTGAGGCCATATGACCTAGGAGTACATACTGAGAAATATATACTTCATTCGATAAGTAAGGAGGAACATTTCAGGTTTTCAGAAATAGAGTGGCCAACTCTCTGTTATAATCTACAGCCAAAATCTTTTTTTCTTTGTTTTAGATGGCTGTTTCCAATATTAGATACGGAGCAGGAGTTACAAAAGAAGTAGGCATGGCAAGTATTTGGGATACCTATAATCTTTTACGGTAAATGTTACATATCTTGTAAAACAAGGGCTAATGGACAAACATGTCCTTTATGTTTAAATATGTACAATGTTAAGTTTGCCCAAAGAGCCTATTATAGTTACAGTGCAATCAAACCTAACTTTTTTTTTTTTTTTAACTGTAGGATCTGCAGAACATGGGAGCTAAAAATGTTTGCCTGATGACAGACAAAAACCTCTCCCGGCTCCCTCCAGTACAAGTAGTTATGGATTCCTTAGTGAAGAATGGCATCAACTTTAAGGTTTATGAGGATGTGAGGGTGGAACCAACAGATACAAGGTAAATTTGTAGAGTTGTTGTTATTTACTTACTTTACGCATGAGCCATCACTGTTGGTGAAAACTTGCCCAAGGCCTTATTTAATGGCATGAGAATGATTTTCAAAAAAATATATATATAACAGTGATTTCTGTTTCCACTTCTCCAAGCTTCAAGGATGCAATTGAGTTTGCCAGAAAGGGATCATTTGATGCCTATGTCGCTGTGGGTGGTGGCTCCACCATAGACACCTGCAAAGCTGCCAATCTATATGCCTCCAGCCCTCACTCAGAGTTCCTTGATTATGTCAACGCCCCTATTGGGAAAGGAAAGCCCGTGTCTGAGCCTCTTAAGCCTCTGATTGCAGGTAAAAATGTTGGCTAGTTTGCTTCATTTTTACAATTGGCAAAAGGACTTAGAAAAGATGCCAGCTAGTAATTTTAGGGTTTATGTTTCTAAAAGTTTCTGATCTGTTCCTTTCAAATCAATGCTTCATTTGGACAAAAAATTAAAAAACAGATGGCAGTTCATTCATTTTGAAAATTCTGATCTTCATTATTGCACAGATAGAGACAATTTGGGTCAGTGGGAGGAAGTTTGCAGATTTAGGCTATGAAGTCACTATGCGGAGGAGGGGAAAGGTCTTCATTGACATTTGATTAGATCCCTCTGTTGGCAGGCTTGTCCTCTAAACCCATCTGTTTTGTCCCATTTTGCCAGCCACCGTGGAGTTTAAGAAGAACATTTGCTGTTATTTTTTTCAGTGACTCAATCCTTTCTTCCACATAATGGCTCTTCAGCTGACCTCAGGCTTTGTCTCTTCCCAGGGACATGTGGCCAACATGTCCACATCATTCTGGATGACATCTGCTCCATGGTTTCTCAGGGCACAAGCACACAAATCTGAAGCAAAAAAAAAAAGTGTGTGTTCCACAGAAGACCTTGAGATTTTCCAGTCTTTTCTTCCCTCCCATCTTTATGGCTGTTGGCATATTACTATTTAAAGTTTTATAGCTAAATGCACTAACTGGTAACTGAGAAATGTCCTCAGTTCAAGTTTTGTCCTCTGTTCTCTTCCTCTCCTGACCCTATTATGAACAGTCCCTGTGATGGGACACGAGGGAGTCAGTGGCAGATGAACTGCATTGATAGGAATGAGGAACCAGCAGGGAGGAGCATAATTGGGGTCTGGCAAATGGAACCCTCTAGTGAAACTGTGTCAGCATCACACAGAGGGGTGATTAGTAAAGTTTAGAAACTTGACAGAACTACAAAACCATGAAGCCCAGCAAAGGCAGAGCGTTCCTGTGCTTGCTGCCAACAGGGAATAAAGATGTCTTTTAGAGACAGCAAATATGAGTGTTCTTACAGAGGTACAGTGCAGCCTGCATTTGAATACCCAGCTGCAGCTGCTTGAGGAACTGGTGCTGGAGGAACCCAAGGTTCCCAGGGCAGATTGCTGTTAATACAGACAGACATCACACACAAATGATTAGCACACATGCATGTTAGTGCAGACAAAGACATCATCATGCATGCACAGATACACAGAAACACTCATGCATGTCACTGCAGGCAGACACCATATATATTAAGTACTCCTGTTTGTACAGATATAGACAGGATACATATTAAACATTCATGTGGGCTAACCGTACATGCATTTTTTATTTTTATTTTTTAGTTGTAGTTGAACATAATACCTTTATTTTATTTTTATGTGGTGCTGACGATCAAACCCAGGGCCTCGCACATGCTAGGCAAGCACTTCACTGCTGAGCCACAACTCTAGCCCCCATACATGCATTTAATGCATGAAATGCATAATATACATCATGTCTGTATATTCACACAAACACAGAGGTCACACAAGCATATTAGATACACATGTTAGTAATTTTAGGGTTTATGTTTCTAAAACATGCATATTAACATGCATGTTAATACAGTCACAGACACTTGCTTTAAACACACACTCATGCAGCAGGCACAGACATGATACATGTTAAACATGTACGTGCAGTAATACAGACATCAACATACTTGTTAAACATATACAGTACAGATACACACCCCATACGTGCCTGTCAATGCAGGCACAGACATCACGCATATTAAGCTGACATACATGTTATATAAATACAGATATCAAGCAAGCAGCAGTGTCAGCAAAGCTTCCTTCTCTAACTTGCTTCTTTATTTCTAAGGCTGAATTAAATATTTCCACTGATCTTTATTTAGGTGCTTTATTAAAAATAATATTATTTTGTTCAAGTTCCAACTACCTCAGGAACCGGGAGTGAAACTACTGGGGTTGCCATTTTTGACTATGAATGCTTGAAAGTAAAAACTGGTAAGAATTTTGACCATAATTCTTTTAATGAATTCTCTCTTTCAGCCCCAGTTCCTTTTCTTTCACCCCACTATTTAGAAACCAAGGAGTTGTGGAGTTAAGGAAAGAATATATGCATATACACATTTTCTTTTTTTTTCTAAGTACATATAAAAAATAATTTTGTTTTTTGAGAATTACCTACAAAAGTATATTGAGATGCCCTGGGTCTTACTTGACCTTTTATCTGCTCATGTTAGTGACTATGTTTCAATAATAAGTGGGTGTTCCCTTTCTGTTATCTTTTTTTTTTTTTACATTTTAAATCAATTTTATTGCAATGCAATTTTTATATAATACAATCCACACATTTATGTTTCTGGCTTGGTGAGTTTTGACAAATATATATGCCATGTTACCCACCACAACCCTGATCAAGATATTAGACATTGTCATTACTCCAGAAAGTTGCCTCAGGTCCGTTGTGGCTTGTCCCTCCTACCCTGTTTCCAAGTCACCTCTGCTCTGTTTTTGTCTTAATGATTTTCATCCCATCTTCTTAATTTGTCCTTGACTCTGGGCTAATGTGTTAGGAATGCCTCTCTCCTTGAATCTGGTTCAGTATCCTGCTTCCAGGCCTTTGCAGCAAAATAAATTGACATTCAACTGCAAACTTAGGGTAACTTACCCTTTGACATTGTTAAAGACAACAATAATTGCCAACACTTAGTTCTGAAATTTACATTATATTATCCCATTTGATCTCTGCAAGAGCTCTGAGAGGGATAGAGGTCTATGTTATTTTAGTCTCATTGTATAGAGAACTAAGAAAGGTTAAGTGACTTGCCCAAAGACACAGAGTTGTAAAGCAAACATCATTGGTCTGCTAGTAAACCAGTTCTCTGCAATTTAACAATAAACAAATAAAACATGATTTGTAGTGCTAACCAATTTCAGTGATATAAATATTTCTAGCCCGGCCAGTGATGTCACTCTTCCAGGAACTGTGATGAGGTGTGTGCACTTGGCTCCTGGAACACAGTAGGAGCAGTGCTACCCCATTATTGAAAAAAAAAAAAAGCTTCTGATTCCAAATATTTCTACTGCTCTTTGCTATTTCCCTACATGAGAATGAACCTTTTCTCATACTGTTTTTAGAGAATGTATCATCCTAAAGTTATTTAGTTTTTGTTTTTTTTTTTTTTAATGGTGCCCAAGCCTTTCACCTTAATTAAAAATCCTATTTTAGGCATTGCTTCACGAGCCATCAAACCCACACTGGGACTCGTTGACCCTCTGCACACCCTCCACATGCCCAGCCAGGTGGTCGCCAACAGTGGCTTCGATGTGCTCTGGTAGGTACTGGTGCCACCTGGAGGGACATTTTGTTTTCCACCATACTTTTATTGATGCATTACAGTTGTACACAACGGTGGGATTTGTTGTTACATATGCATACATGCACACAGTATGACCATATAATTTGGCTTTATCATTTCCTTTCCCTCTCCTCCTTAGGGGACTTTTCTAGTTCCCAGTATTTTATTGCCTAAGTGCCCATTTGCAGATGCCTCTTGCATTGGCTCTCATTATCCCCTTTCCTAGATGACAGTATTGGCAGTAAAGGTGATCACTAGGTGTGCTGGTGTGAGCTACAAATCTGCTGTTCAGGATGGACCACCCCAGCCAGAGCCAGAGCCACAGAAAAAGGAGCAGTGTGAGGTGCCATGCAGTGTCTCAGAACCACACTACCTGCCTTTAAGGCCACACACATTAGGGAAAGTCCAGGGCTGCACCACAGAAGAGGGCAGGGATAGGAGCTAGCATCTCTGGAGGTCAGCCCAAATGTATTCACTGTCAGCAGTTGACACACATCATTGCTTCCTTGCAGCACTGTACAATGTGAGACTTTCACAGAAACAAAAAGAAAACTAGAGGGCTGGGGATGTGGCTCAAGCAGTAGTGCGCTTGCCTGGCATGCGTGTGGCCCGGGTTCGATCCTCAGCACCACATACAAAGAAAGATGTTGTGCCTGCCGAAAAACTAAAATAAATTGATTTTTTATTTAAAAGAAAAGAAAACTAGATTTTTGGATGGTTAGTGACTTGCCCAGAGTCTCACGGTGTGATCCCTTGGCTTCAGCTGCGATGTGCCAAAGGCTTTCAATCAGGGTTGCTTTTTGTTTGTTTGTTTATTTGTTTCCTTTGTATTGAACCCAGGGGCACTGTACCACTGAGCTACATCTCTAGTCCTTTTCTATATTTTATTTAGAAACAGGGTCTTGCTGACTTGCTTAGGGTCTCACTGAGTTGCTGAGGCTGGCTTTGAACTTGGGATCTTCCTGCCTCTCAAATTGCTTGGATTACAGGCATGAGCCCAATCATGGTTTCTACCACAGACCTCACTCCAAACTCCAGGCCATTAGTTCCAGTGGCCTCACAAGACCCCACAGGTGCTTCCCATTCAACGTGACCCAAACCACCCTAATTCATCCATCTGCATGTGCACATTTTGTCACTTGTTCACGTCTCTGAAATTAAGACATATCTTAAAATCTATGACCTGGTGCTATGCTTTTTACCCTTAGCAGCACATTAAAAAAAAAAAATGGCCCATCTCTTAATGCATGGCATCCTGAATTCACATGATGTGGTATTCTCTTAATCAACCCTACTCCACAGTTTCTCCAGAGTCCTCTAGCTCAGCAAGTAGCAGGACTTCAATATGAACTCCTCCCTTCTTTCATGACCGTGCTCTATCAGCAGAGCCTGTCTCTTGTCCTACTTGGATCTCTTAGATCTGCTCTGTCTTCTCAAGCTTCATGGTTCCTACTTGGTTCTGGTCTGCCTCAACTCTTACCTGAGTTATTGCAGCAGTCTCCTCATTGATTTTCCTAATTCCATCCCATAGTTCTTCCATTTGTCCTCCATTTTGGCCTGAACAAACTTCCATATTGCAATATGAGCATCATGCACAAAGGAACACTCATACATGTACCTCTCCACCTTACAAGTCTTTCAGGAGCATTCCATCCCTACGATCTGAAAACCAAATTCCCTGGCCCTGGCATGTCCCCAGTGCTCAGCTGTTTGCTTGGAGAGCGTGTTTTTAATTACACATGAGTATCTGTTTGGAGTCTTTGCTGGCCCTTTCCTCTTCTCTCAACTACAACTGGCCACTTATCCTTTGCTGCTCCCCTGGGTAGCTGGTTCATTGCTTCTGAGGTACCATCTCTTCACTTGCCTGTATCCACACTGTATCGTGAGTTTGGTGAGGACAGGGCTATCTTATTCTCTTCTCTAGGTATTCCCAGGGCACAGTGATGATTACATGACAGGTATTGAATCATTTGCTGTTAAATGACAAGTTAGGATCCATGCTAGGTCTATCCATGTCCCTAGTCTGTTTTTCCCACTATATTCTGCTGCCTACCAAGAGACTATAAAAAATTGTATCCAATTCCATTCTAGTCAATATTGTCAGAACTTTGATGAGTTGTCTCCTATTTACTTAGGAATAAGGGAAATAAGATTGTTTTCCTTGACTATAAAATGCATAATAAATACATCATGGCCCAAAGCAGTCAGCTTTAAAGGAATAACTCCCAGGTCCAAAGACTTCACTATGAACCAATGCAAAAATCAGGATAGAAGGAAGGAGAATGAGGGTAGTTGCTTGTGTTAGTCAATCATCTGTCACTATAACAAAGTGCTTGAGATAGTGAATTTTTAAAAATAAAAGGTTTATTTTGGCTCACCAATTCCAAGATTTTAGTCCATAATCACTTGGTCCTGTTGCTTTGGGCCTGTGGCAGCACAGTACATGATGGTGGGAATGCACAACAAAGAAGGCTTATTCTCCAAATGGCAGCCAGGAAGCAAAGAGAGATAGTAGATGAGATCCCAGTCTCCTTCAAGGGCATGCCCCTAATGATTTAACTCCCTTCCAATAAGCCCCATCTCTTAAAGATTCTACCACTTTTCAATAAGGCCAAGAGCTGGAGACCAAGCCTTCAACACATGGGCCACTGAGGAACATTAGAGATCCAAACCATAATGCTGCTCATCTGAACAAGAAAACACTTGGCCCAAGGAATCTGCCCCTAAGACCCCGGGGATACAGCTATGCATTAAACCTTGAGGATAATACCCCCTGAGAGAATTTGTGGGGCCTCTGATCATAAATCAACCATCACAAGACTTGTCTAAAGGGAAAGAAGGGCTAGGAGACTCAGATGCCTGTCCCCTTCAGAAGTACCATTTCTCATTTTGAATCAGTAATGTGACTTCCAGGTTTCATACATAGTTTCTGGGAGCTTGGCTTGGTTAGGGAATCTGCTCCTGAGAAACAGGGATTCAGATTCTTGGATTCAGAATCTAGATGCAAGTGAGGCATGCTGTGAGGCCCCTGTTAGAGTCTGGGCCCTGGTGGACTCACCACCAACCCAACTCACCAATGGAATTGGATACAATTTTTTATAATCTCTTGGTAGGCAGCAGAATATAGTGGGAAAAGCAGACCAGGGACATGGATAGACCTAACATGGATCCTAACTTGTCATTTAACATATCGCATTTCTCACACATCCCCTACTTAGAGTCACATGACATCCATCTAGTCACTGAATTTTTTTTTTATTTCTAGCACTTTATTCAAAAGTGTTCTCTGCTTCTCACATTAAAAAAAAAAAAAAAAGAGTAAATCCTCGTAACACTGAAACTATCATTCATGGAAAACATAGTTCATGTTACATGGTGTCCCAGCATCATTGATCTAGATGGTTTGTCTAATGTCCTCTTCTTCAATAAGGAGCTAGACTTCAGGGCAAGCCAGCAGGTAAAGTAGTTCTGAAGTCTAGTTCTTAAAATAGCCAATCCTGAGTTTGAAACACATAAGAAAAAATAATCAGATTTTTCAAACCAGCAATTAATAATAATAGTTAATAATAAGTTTCAGAATATTCCAGGCCTATTCTAAGGGCTTTATAAAGGTCAACTCATTTAGTTTTCACAGCTGCCCTGTGAAGCGGTACTATTATTTATCCATGTCACAGGAAGGGTAGTGCCTCACACCTGGTCTATAGCGGGAAGATCTGGTGCCAGGATTTACAGCTGCACCGCTGACCCAAAGCCTACTACACTGTACTCTTTATTCTCATTTTCTCTCTCTCTCTCTCTCTCTCTCTCTCTCTCTCTCTCTCTCTCTCT